TACAATTGTACGTCGCCTCCGAACAGCAATGACGAAATGAGTCTGCGGGCGCGATCTTATTGCTAGTCATTTCTGGTTTTCGTATTGTGCCAATTGTTCTTTTTGCTCGGAAACGAAAGAAAATGTATGATCATAGTGTCGAGATATACCGTGAAAAATCAATGGACATACTTCCCTAGGGTTGACCGTCGAACAAGATCGAAAAGATCCCATGATAAGAAGTACATACATACCCACCCTTTTGTCTTATACCACTAAGAAGTTCGTTTCTTGGTCTTGTACTATCCGAATGCAGCATTTTAATGCTGGTTCTGAGGTAACTTGTTGTTAATGCTGTATTTATGTATAATTGTCAGCATCTGCGTATACAACAGAGCTGAAAATTGACGGACGGTCTGCTTTATCTGCTTTATCGACTAGGGAGCATAAGATTTCGGCGTTGTCCTGCTTAACGAATATCTATACATCTGAGCCAAGCTGTAATTTAGATCCATCTATAAATATTCTGGACGATCCCAGACCTGACTCCAATTACTAGTTACCTATCTGGTATAACCACGCCAAACGTTCACTTCGAAGCTTAATTCTCCGTTTACATGAACCAGAAGGCTTATCCAATACCTCTTCAACCTATAGAGAGATTGCGCGTCCTAATACTCATATATAATGCAAAAGCTTGGAAAATTACAACATTTGATGAGGCGGCCTTTAGTGCATTGTAGAAAAAGATTTTGCAGTGCTCCCACTTACATGTTTTATCAATAGGAACGACTTCCTGTAAGTTCTGACTAAATCCTGTAAACCGGACTACTATTGGAACAGACTATATGCAACCTCCATTGTGTCTACCAATAGAGTTAAGTTTATCAATGCACTGAACCTTTAGACCTTCATCTGATTGCATTAGAATTAAGATCCTCTCATCTCTTGAAATATGATCGAGTATTTCCTCATTGAAACCAACGTCCTGGTTCTGCGTCCACAGATACCCGCTCCTATGTGCTAGCGGAAGCTAAGACCCTAGCTCCTCTATATTCTTTGAGGATATGAGTTTTCTTCTACCAATTGCCTTTCTAGCAAAGCTTAGTCGAGTTCATTTGGCAGCCTGCTTTATGGGTAGGTGAAAAGTCATAAGTTCTAGAATAACTTCCAGCGTTGTCGTCGGGCATGTGGCTATTGCTCCTGTATTCTTACACATGCCAGTCGTTGTAGCTCGGCAAGCTTAAGCTCCGACTCGATTTTCAGTACAAATTCTTGAGCTTGAACTCACTCCATCAGTGCAAAAAGTGAGTCAGAGCTTAAGCTCACTTTTTATACATGAGGTGCAATGCCTCAGCGTGGCCAGAGAAGTTCCCAAGACTTAAGCTACCGCCCCATGGGTTACTATCGGTTGTACTATCATGTAGTACAGGCACCTTAGGATTTAAGGATTGCATTCTTAGGACTTGGCTGTTAAGGAAATTAAGTAAATAATTACATCGAAAGCTCTTTTAGGTCGAATGAAACTTCCTGGGCTTTCTTAATCTTTTTTTTGTGGCTAATCCACACCAAGGCACTTTCTTCACTTTTCACAAACTTTTTCAATTTGGTGCTCGACAGCCAATTAAAAATAACACACATATTTGCAGAATAAGGCAGCTTGCCTTGCAATAAAATGCACGACCAGCAGAAAGGAAAAGTCAACCCCAAGAAGGAAAAACCCTGTTCCAGCGCACCAAAGTATGCAATGCTAAATGCTGCGGCGCGCAATGAACCGCAAAATTATAATGCGCCTTCCACACACACACACGCACACACACACACACACACACACACACACACAGCTAACTAGTTGATTTTTTACAGTTCCATTAAATGCAAACTTTGCCACGCTTCTCGCAGATACTTCTACTACTTCCTTGCAAATTATGATTTAAGCTGCAGATAAGCTGCTAAAAGGCAGCGTGCAAAAATTAAACCCTAATTGAATTTATGAAAATGAAAAATAAGCTGGCTAAGCACATTAAGAAATTTATATTTATTTTGTAATGGAACTTATTAGCAGCGTGCACGTTTTGCTCGCGCAAATGTGGTCGGTCAGTCGTTAAAAAGAACCTGCCCGCAAGAATGTGAAAAATTTGCGAAAATGCTAAAAATGCGAAAAGCATTAAATTTTCTTGCCTTGATTTGCTATTAATGGGGGTCACCAAGGCACCAAGCGCGCTGCCAGCTGAGTTGGAAAGCAAATTAGCTTGAAATATTTTTTATGTTAGCACTTGCTTGCAGTGCGGCGAGCTTTTTGGCACTTAATTTTTGCCTGTCGTAAAAGGGCATTAAAGGCAGTGAACCAAAAAAACAAAAAAAAAAACAGAAAAACATCACTGAAATTTAACGCAAAAAGTGTGGTGCGTTTTTGCCAGCATTTCAACTGCTACAATATTACAAACACTTCGATCTTTCAACGCTTTGTTTGCTTGCTGCCAAAAATCGTGCATCCACCAGCGCTTGATTTGCTGCCGTTTGAAGTTGCTCGAACGCGTACATATTTTTGATATGATGCAGAGCAGACCTCAAGTCCGCTTGTCTTACGCCACTAACCGCCAGCTCTTCTTCACTTGCTCATCACACACCTTCTGTTTGTGTTTATCTTTCTTTTTTTTTTTATTGTCTTGTCCGCTTATCGTGCATCTCGCGCATTGCAGCGTATCCACTTGAGCAGTTCAACAGCCAGCAGCAAGGCAGCAAGCAACCAGCGTTTCTTCACCATTCACCTCTGCTGTACCGCTGACGTTGTTGTGCTGGATTATCATTTTCAATCGTTGCGCTTCATTGCCGTTTGATATTGATGCATTCAATTGTTGGCCACCGAAGTGCTGGAATCGCTTATTTCGTTAGCATTAAAGTGCACCGGCGCACACTGGGGTAGGAGACCCTCATAACTGCCATCAAATGAACTAAAGCTGTTGCATCTTCTAAAGTGGATCACATTTTTTCCTAGATATACCTATTATTAGAAAAAAATAAAAATTTTAATTCAGATCAAAACTGCTTACTCAAAATCTTTCTGAGATCTCCAATTAGAAATTTTACATTTTCACAAAAACTTGTTAAATTTTTTCATGTAACTCCTTGATTTTGGAGCCTTTGCTATTGCTTTGCTGAATAGGCACTATCTACAAGAAGACTCGTATATGGTTGCCACCTATTCGAAATTAGTTACAAGTTAATTAAAACATCACAATATGGATATCAAATGGAAGATATTTTAAAGATCCCTAATTCCAAAATATTTTTAATAGGGTTGCCAACTATTTTGAATCGCATATTTATTAAATTTTTTTTTTAGAAAAAAAGGTTAAATATTACTTTACTATTCATGGGTACCAAGAGAAGGTTCTTAAACAATGCTTTCCCTATATACAAAATGTTATCGCTTAGGATAATAGTGTAAGGTTGCGACTTAATTTCGATTCTACACAATTTATCTAAAACATCACAAAATGGGTATCAAATGAAAGGTATTGTTGCGAACTTTGGCCAGAAAATATTTTCCATCAGGGTTGCCACGCTTCTATGTAATACGAATTTTATTTTATTAAAGGGTAGCTGAAAAAAATGTGTTGTATGAAACTATACAAAGATTATTTTTAGATAACACGTTTGGACATGCTCGAAACCTAAACAAAATGGGCAATATTCATAGACGAAGTTAGTTGCAGCTTTATGGACAAAAATTCCATCGAAAAGTATGTCAAGAAGCTGGAACTAACTTTAGTGCCGACTTTATTTTGATTACAAATAAGCCCAAATATTTATTATTTATTAAATTTCCTATTATTTACTATATAGCTAAATTTGTATTGGCTACCTAAAACTTTTTATGTACATATGTATGTATATAATTTAGAAACAAGTATTACTTAAAACCACTAACAGTAAATAGCTTAGTCTGCATACTAGACATAAGTTTACTTCGCTGTAAAAGCGAGTGGTGCACTTAAATACTGTTAAACAACTCATCTTAGTGTTCTTATTAAGTATGTAATATAGTGAGTGCAACCTGAACTGATTTTTTTTTTGCAGTGTTTGAGCGCATCAGCCCCAGTGTGCGCCCTTTATGGCCAGCCAAATGGCGTAAATGGCGTAGAAGCTCTGAGTCGCTTCAAAGCTAATTGCAACTGATTGCATTTCAAGACATAAAAAAAATTTAAAATGTGTTATTAAAACTGCAACCCTTTGTATTTGGCATTCTTGGGAGCAGCATCTTTTAGATGATACACATTAAGATTGCCGTTATTTTGTGTGAAGTAACGCATAAAGTCAAAGAACTAAATGCTTCTATTTGCATATGTACACTGAGCCAAAAGCACAATGGTTTTTTAATCAAGTTATTGTTTGATTTTTTTATGATTAATATACCGATTTTAAAAATGTGATTCAAGTTGAAGTGGAGAGATGCTTGCTGTTATTTGTTGGTTGGCTTCCAGCAGATTCGGGTCCGAATGTTATCAAAGGCGACATGTAATTTTTTTGCGGTTTCTTTTTCTTAAATATGAAAGAATATCTGTGAATTGAAGAACACTATCAAACGATCAGAAGGTCCAGGTTCAAAGCGCGTGTTAAAATGATAATAAAAATTTTTGTTTCGTGTCGCCGAATTATGCAAAAGCATCTGTGAAGTGCAGAACATAAGCGTATTCAAACGAAAAAATTGGCAACCAAAAATTTGTTTAGAGTAAACAAAAGTGTGGTTAATATTACTAAATCAATAATGAAAATATCAACCATGGCATTGTTAGTATTTAACTAAAATCACTTTGTTTCCTTTTCAAGTTTGAATTTGCTAATATTAACCAATTTTTGGTTGATTTTTTTTTCGGTGTATGTAAATCCATTTAATAAGCTTCTTTATTCTTCCGTCGTGTCAGTTTGTATTAAATTTTTGTCACTTAAAATATTTATTTAAAAAAAAAAAGTCGATTTCAATTTTTTTCACATTTCTTCTTTCGCTTTCATTGCAGCCTGCGAATGCCATCCAATCGGTTCTTCTGGCAAAACTTGCAACAACACCTCTGGCCAATGTCCCTGCAAGGATGGTGTGACCGGTCTCACCTGCAATCGCTGCGCGCGTGGCTATCAACAGAGTCGTTCACACATTGCGCCATGCATCAGTAAGTCATTAAATTATCCCCATCTACTGTTGACTAATATATACATATTTTTATGTATTTATTCTTATTCGCTTCGTTGTATTCAATAACAGAAATTCCTGCTCGTAAAGCGAATATGTTGGATACACAGAATACTGCACCTGAACCCGATCCACACGATTCCAATGCACCTTATCGCACTGAAGGTGGGAGGGGTAAGTAAGTGTTCGCTTTTTATCACTTTTTTGTTGGTGTTGTTTGATTTGTTATTATTGTTTGGATAATCTGTGTACTTTCCTTAGATTAGCTGAATGTGGGGTTTCCTAACCTTGCCTAAAATTTTACTAATTTTCTTTTGCTGCTACTAATCTACTTATGACCACTTTTTATCGACGAAAGCAATTTAGTGGATAACATGTTGGGGCTCAAACCCCCCTCTCCCCTTATAAAGTGGCCAATAATTACACCGTGCTACAGTAAATTTTACACACAAAAGAAATGAATATACTCGCGAAACCATGGGTAACTTATAATACAACTGCGTGCTTAGTTTTTCTTTCTGACGTCAGGATTTTTTTTTAAGGACTTTGATTTTAAAAAAATATGATTATTTCACAAAAGTATTTAAAAAACTCAGTGCAATGTAGGATAACAATATGGATATCGTATAAAAGAAAAAATTCTGTTAAATTATAACAGAATACATTTTTTGGTGCATAAGGACGAAACGGTATGGAAAATTTCATTTACAAATTTCGTCCTTAAATATCCTGGAAAACTTACAATTATTTTTTTTTTTTTAATTATTGTTTGAGGACTAATATATGCACGACCTTATCATCGAATTTCGTCCGGCAAACTTTATTAACTTAAAAAGATAAAATTTATTAAAAGCGCATTTTCAATAACTATTCGTCCTTGTAAACCAAAAAACTTTATTGTTTTTAAATGCTACAGCCGGTGCTATCCTTATGCCCGGAAACCCATCCCAAAATTAAGGAATCATCTCGGTTAAGGCATACAGGAATTTCTGCATCTGTAACCACAGATCCATTTCAGAAGCAAGGAATAGCTTCCTTTACGGTTAAGAATAGTCGAGAAACCACTAAGCTAAGCTGGCAACCCTATTGCTCAATATAGTAATTACCGCAGAAACAAGGATCAGTAGTCAAGCCGAAATACTTCTGACTTGGCAGAACCCCAGCAAAAGCAAAAGATGTGGCATCGCCCTGGGCAAGAAGCACCTTGCAATTGCAAATGTCCTAGCTTTCGATCTACATTCGGTGAGTTGGCATGGCGTTCGTCAGCGCAGAATTTTAAAGTGTCCATTCGGTGAACTTGCTAGGCATCCGTTGAGGATAATTGAATCCCATGATGAGGTAGTGAGCCAGGACCGTATTAGTAGTCCATTTACTTACTAGATCAGAGTAACTTTGAGTCAGATCGTATAGGCCCTATACTATAGGGTGTCGGGTGTAGTTTAGTTGTTGATTTATAAAAATACCAATTTAAAATAAAAAAAGTATACAATAAGGAAAAAACGAGCAAGATGGTTAAGAGAATATTCAACAAAAATTTAAGTCACAAAAATTTATGTAGCAGGTTTTATTCAAACGTTTCGTACAATAAAAGTTTAATTTCATTCAATTAAATTTAATTTGCTCATATTTAGTTTATGTGTATGCATTTACGCATACATATATGGACACATTATTATATTTTGTAACATCGTATGAATATTAAAAAAAAAGATAATTTGAATTAAATGTCGGCTGCAGAAAACACTCATCACTAGTGGCACTTAGAAGTTCATTAAACTTGCCGGGAAGCTATGTAGCTTTGAATAGTAAAAAAACGAAAACTTGCAAGGGTGCTAAGTGTTGGGGTAGGTTAAGGAATGGATGTTCGTATGTAGATGCGTATCTGCAGACATTATTAACACCTCAACGCGCTGACAGGTGAAAGGAACCAAAAGACTCTCTGACATAACATGTGAGGGGTTACTTATAAAAAAAGCACTAAGGCATAGATGGGAGTATGTGAGTATGTATGTACATATATACAACAAAAGCTATAGAAACCGATAAGCGTCTAGATGTGAGTCTAATTAAGAAATCTTTAATAAAGCTACATACATACATAGATACGCACATGTAGATAGAATCGAAAGAAGTCGGATTTGCCAGTGAGTTGAGGTATTAGCGCTTTTCACGCGCCCTTCAAACACCATTTATTAGACCGTATCAGAAAAAAAGTTCGTTGTAAACCGGTGAGTCTAAAGTATTTTTGTACAGCGGTTGCGAAAAAAAAATTATTATTTTTTGTGCAGCACGTTTTTCTATTTCACGTCATATCTTCGGCATTTAGAGTCGGATCTTATAGTAACTATGATATGCTAGATATCGACATTCAATTGGGTAGAACGTTTTTTTTGTTTCAAAGTTCATTGACCTCAAGTACGCCGTTCCAGTATTTGCCCGCCAGTTCCTAACACCCTAATGCCTAAACTAAAGCTTACCAAAAATCATTAAACTTTTGCCAAGGAAGAATTACGATTATTCCAGTAGAGCAATTAAAAAAACACAATTTTATTACCGAGTGTAGGTATCACCGGAAACTATAAATATGTTACCTATAGGTTCGAGCAAAAATAAATTTTTTTTCCAAATTCCCTTGCCAAAATACTTTAGATTCACGGGTGCGCAGCTAAAGTTTTTTTTTCTTGTGATGCGGTACGGTCTAATGTACATACATACATGCACACATAAAATAACTAGAACTCCAAAGCCAAAAAATTAAATTGCACTAACACAAACACACTACAGCTATTTAGTGGAGCTGTCGAGTAGACAGCGGGGCACTGGCTGCTCTAGAGGACGCAATTAATAGCTGCTATAGAATAAAGATTTCCTCATTTCCTGTCGCGTCGTTTCGTAGCGCACCTCTACACAGCTCGAGCAATTGTTTTTGTTAGAGAAGGAAAAAACTCAAAAAGAAAAACAACATATTTGCAGTCATAAATAAAGCAGCCAACCAACGTCAAAGTGATTCCTCCGTCTAACCCCCACGCAGAGTGGCAACTTATAAAGCAATAAAAAGATATACTTAGTTGCCAACGTAATTGAATAATTTTATATAGAAAATCCACAAGATGTAAACAAATTATATATGGCAGACAGACCAACCAGCGAGAGAGGTGAAAGGCAGCTAGAGAAGGTTGTTGTTGGAAAACAAACACGGCACAGTGTACTAAATGCAGGCGAGAGGATGCTGGAAAATTGTTTAAGTAAACAGTGAAGTTGGCGGCGGCGTTGTTGACTGGTGGCTAGAAGTTTTCGCTGCTTTTGCTGCTGCTGCCACAGCCAACACTTGTTTTACAAACGCGCAAGCATTTACGCAGCCGTTGTGGCTGTCGTTAATGTTGATGTTGTAACACGCGAAAGCGTTAAAGCATAAATATTGATAATAATAGCAAACACAAACATACTACGCCAGCTAAGTATGTACAGCAGTCAAACTCATACAAAGTACACACTACATACACACGTTTGTATGAGTGTGTGCGGTGCATAAATTTTTAGTCGGCTGATAAGATTTTCTCCCAGCATCCCAGAGGTCATAAAATAAATACATACATATGTATATGAATATGTGTTTGCAACTTTAGTCACTCGCCACTTTTTGTTAATATTTAAGCTTAGCTAAAATGACTAAAGTACTGCAGATAACGTGCAGCATGTTGCATGTATCCGTGCCTCTTGTTTCATGGCGAAGATGTGTGCCTCGCTGACTGCAAACTGCAGACAGCACACAAGTGACAACAAACAGGGAAAGAAGAAACACAAGCACGCACGTCAACGTACATAAATAACGGGTGATTTTTTAAGAGCTTGATACCTTTTTTTTTAAAAAAAACGCATAAAATTTGCAAAATCTCATCGGTTCTTTATTTGAAACGTTAGATTGGTCCATGACATTTACTTTTTGAAGATAATTTCATTTAAATGTTGACCGCGGCTGCGTCTTAGGTGGTCCATTCGGAAAGTCCAATTTTGGGCAACTTTTTCGAGCATTTCGGCCGGAATAGCCCGAATTTCTTCGGAAATGTTGTCTTCCAAAGCTGGAATAGTTGCTGGCTTATTTCTGTAGACTTTAGACTTGACGTAGCCCCACAAAAAATAGTCTAAAGGCGTCAAATCGCATGATCTTGGTGGCCAACTTACCGGTCCATTTCTTGAGATGAATTGTTCTCCGAAGTTTTCCCTCAAAATGGCCATAGAATCGCGAGCTGTGTGGCATGTAGCGCCATCTTGTTGAAACCACATGTCAACCAAGTTCAGTTCTTCCATTTTTGGCAACAAAAAGTTTGTTAGCATCGAACGATAGCGATCGCCATTCACCGTAACGTTGCGTCCAACAGCATCTTTGAAAAAATACGGTCCAATGATTCCACCAGCGTACAAACCACACCAAACAGTGCATTTTTCGGGATGCATGGGCAGTTCTTGAACGGCTTCTGGTTGCTCTTCACTCCAAATGCGGCAATTTTGCTTATTTACGAAGCCATTCAACCAGAAATGAGCCTCATCGCTGAACAAAATTTGTCGATAAAAAAGCGGATTTTCTGCCAACTTTTCTAGGGCCCATTCACTGAAAATTCGACGTTGTGGCAGATCGTTCGGCTTCAGTTCTTGCACGAGCTGTATTTTATACGGTTTTACACCAAGATCTTTGCGTAAAATCTTCCATGTGGTCGAATAACACAAACCCAATTGCTGCGAACGGCGACGAATCGACATTTCACGGTCTTCAGCAACACTCTCAGAAACAGACGCAATATTCTCTTCTGTACGCACTGTACGCATTCGTGTGGTTGGTTTAATGTCCAATAAAGTAAACTGAGTGCGAAACTTGGTCACAATCGCATTAATTGTTTGCTCACTTGGTCGATTATGTAGACCATAAATCGGACGTAAAGCGCGAAACACATTTCGAACCGAACACTGATTTTGGTAATAAAATTCAATGATTTGCAAGCGTTGCTCGTTAGTAAGTCTATTCATGATGAAATGTCAAAGCATACTGAGCATCTTTCTCTTTGACACCATGTCTGAAATCCCACGTGATCTGTCAAATACTAATGCATGAAAATCCTAACCTCAAAAAAATCACCCGTTACATGTAAAAGTGTAAACTTGCGCGCTCGTTTGAAGCT